CAACTTTGGAAATGATCACGCAGACAATGGACTCCGGACAAGGTGGGTTCCATCTAAGTCATCCTATCAATATGACCATGTTGCGAAAACAAGGAGACTGTGACCACACAAAAGGCCACACAATCTTGGTATTCATACCTAGTGGATTAGTGTTTCGAATTTGACTATTCACGAATCTGTCTACACAACTTTTTTTAGGAATAAAAATCCGATTCCCATCCCTGATGATATCTGCTAAGCGACTTTGACTCTGAATCCCGAGGGTAAGTGAGTCTATGGGAAGTGGACATTTTGGTTCGCAGTTTGCACGAGGCTCAAGTGGCAGATCTTGACCACAATCAGATGTGTCTCCAGACCAACTTCAAAGAAGGCACATTGTCACTGAGCCATGCCTTCCTGAGGTGGCCCTTAGTACCGAACAAGTTGCCACATTCATTTATCGCCACCTTCCACTTCAAGCCTTGCATCATACAGCTCCTTGCCAGCCGATCGTGCTCTCTCTGGCCAAAAGAATGAGATCAACTCGAGGCTGAGCCGAACCTCGCTCTCCCGTTGTACGGCCGGGCGATCAGCTGGCCCCTTTCGCCGCGCCGTCCCAACTAACCGTCTCAACCCATCCCGAGCTCATATTGACAAGGCCTCTGTCAACTGAACACTGAACTGTGACAGGACGACCCTTCTTCTTTACCCTCGCAGTCGGTGACATTTCGAAGGTGTTCGCACAATTAAACAACATGACCAGCCTCAACTGAAGCCCGAACAACGCAGGCGTCGGTTGGTTTCGATGCCGGCGTACTACCGGGGAAGGGAGATTCACCCATTTCTATGTCTACCGGATAGCATGTGTATGATTGCATGTAGGTCTAGACGTCGAGGCAGAGCTCATATGTTAGCTGAGGGGAGTGAGAGAGAGAGGGCAGAACGTTGATGCCCACTTTATTCCCAGCCCAGGCCCATTTTGATTCGGCTTTGCTGGTCTTGTGAAAACTCACACCTCTGCGACACTCCATCAGCTTATTTGCCCATTTGACCATTCTCTGTTCCTTTTCTCCTCCCCGCCCCTTTGACCCCAGTCCCCTCATTGTCCTGTGAACGGCTGACCCCTCTTCGTCTTCCAGCCCGATCATGACAAACTCCCACTCCTTCCTCGTCTATCTGACCTCACGCGCACACATTGACACACAAGTACACACACATATGAACCCAC